CTTGGGAGCACAACCAAAGCCATTTATCGCACAAAAATGAGCTTGGTTGCGCCCCCAAACGCTGGGTTGCGCTTCATCTCGCCTCGATGAAGCACAACCTTGGAAAATGATATTTTTTTTTAATCTTCTTTGGTAAATTTATGTCATCCAAACCGTAGCATATTCTAACTTCGCGAAAAACTCGAAAAAAGCGAAAAAAGTATCAACGTCGGAAAAGCGAAAAAGCAAAGCAGCAAAATCTAAAAAACACAAAAGCAGAATAAAAGGAGAAAAAAGAAAGGAAAAACACGGAGAGGCTCAAAGGGAAAAATGAAACAAGAGTTACATTTTTTGTTTTTCACGCTTTCTTTCAAGTTTTTCGACAGGCAAAATAATCTATGGTCTGGAAGACATAAATTTACCAAAGAAGATAAAAAAATATCATTTTCCAAGGTTGTGCTTCATCGAGGGGAGATGAAGCGCAACCCAGCGTTTGGGGGCGCAACCAAGCTCATTTTTGTGCGATAAATGACTTTGGCTGTGCTCCCAAGCACTTGGTTGTGCTTCATCGAGGCGAGATGAAGCGCAACCCCGAAAAAAATGATGTTTTATGTTCTTTGGTAAATTCTAGTGAGATAGGTGCCATGCGAATGATATGAATAGGGGTCAGCATGATGTTAACGTTTATGTTCATCGTGGCACACCCAGTGGCGAAATGCTTTGATCCAAACATATCCGACGGCGACATGATGACATGATACACTCCACTACACCACACTACATTTCACTACTCTACATTGCACTGAATGACACTGCACCACAAATAGACAGGTAGACAGGTAGACAGGTAGACAGGTAGACAGATAGACAGATAGACAGATAGACAGATAGACAGATAGACAGACAGACAGATAGATAGATAGATAGACAGACAGATAGCCAGGTAGACAGATAGATAGATGAAAGAGAGAGAGAGAGAGATAGATAGATAGATAGACAGACAGATAGATAGATAAATAGATAGATAGAGAGAGTTTTGAGCGATAGATGGGTGGAGAGATAGAGAGATAGATAGATAGAAAGATAGATAGATAGATAGGTAGATAGATAGACAGACAGATAGATAGATAGATAGATGGCTAGATAGATTGATAGATAGATAGATAGATAGGTAGATAGATAGGTAGATAGAAAGACAGATAGGCAGATAGACAGGTAGACAGATAGACAGATGAAAGAGAGAGAGAGAGAGATAGATAGATAGATAGATAGAGAGATAGATAGATGGCTAGACAGATAGATAGATCGATGGATAGATAGATAGATCGATCGATAGAAAGATAGATAGATCGATAGATAGATAGATAGATAGATAAATATATAGATAGAGAGATGGATAGATAGATAGATAGATAAATAGATATATATATATAGATAGATAGATCGATAGATCGATAGATAGATAGATAGATAGAAGGATAGATAGGTAGGTAGGTAGGTAGATAGATAGATCGATAGATCGATAGATAGATAGATAGATAGAAGGATAGATAGGTAGGTAGGTAGGTAGATAGATAGATAGACAGACAGATAGATAGATAGATAGATCAATATAGATAGAGAGATAGATAGGATAGATAGATAAATATATATATATATAGATAGATAGATCGATAGATCGATAGATAGGTAGAAGGATGAATAGATAGATAGATAGATAGATAGATAGATAGATAGATAGATAGATAGATAGATAGATAGATAGACAGATAGACAGATAGATAGATAGGATAGATAGGATAGATAGGATAGATAGGATAGATAGGATAGATAGGATAGATAGGATAGATAGGATAGATAGGATAGTTAGGATAGATAGGATAGATAGGATAGATAGGATAGATAGGATAGATAGGATAGATAGGATAGATAGGATAGATAGGATAGATAGGATAGATAGGATAGATGGGATAGATGGGATAGATGGGATAGATAGGATAGATAGGATAGATAGGATAGATAGGATAGATAGGATAGATAGGATAGATAGGAAAGATAGGATAGATAGGAAAGATAGGATAGATAGGATAGATAGGATAGATAGGATAGATAGGATAGATAGGATAGATAGGATAGATAGGATAGATAGGATAGATAGGATAGATAGGATAGATAGGATAGATAGGATAGATAGGATAGATAGGAGAGATAGGAGAGATAGGAGAGATAGGATAGATAGGATAGATAGGATAGATAGGATAGATAGGATAGATAGGATAGATAGGATAGATAGGGTAGATAGGATAGATTAGGATAGATAAGGTAGAGAGGATAGATAAGTAAGATAGATAGATAGATAGATAGGATAGATAAGATAGATAGGATAGATAGGATAGATAGGATAGATAGGATAGATAGGATAGATAGGATAGATAGGATAGATAGGATAGGTAGGATAGGTAGGATAGGTAGGATAGGTAGGATAGGTAGGATAGGTAGGATAGGTAGGATAGGTAGGATAGGTAGGATAGGTAGGATAGGTAGGATAGATAGGATAGATAGGATAGATAGGATAGATAGGATAGATAGGATAGATAGGATAGATAGGATAGATAGGATAGATAGGATAGATAGAATAGATAGAATAGATAGAATAGATAGAATAGATAGAATAGATAGAATAGATAGAATAGATAGATAGATAGATAGATAGATAGATGGATAGATAGATAGATAGATAAATATATAGATAGAGAGATGGATAGATAGATAGATAGATAAATAGATATATATATATAGATAGACGGATAGCTAGATAGATAGATCGATAGATAGAGAGATAGAAGGATATAGATAGATAGATAGATAGATAAATAGATAGATAAATAAATAGATAAATAAATAGATGGATAGATAGATAGACAGATAAAAGCATCGATCGATAAATAGATAGATCGATAGCTAAATAGATCGATAAAAAGATAGATAGATAGATAGATAGATCGATCGATAGGTAGATAGATAGATACATAGAAGGATAGATAGATAAATAGATACATAGATAGACAACTAAATAGATAGATACATGGATAGATAGATGGATAAGGAGGTAAGTACATAGTCAGAGAAAAAGAAAGAAAGAGATGCGATGCGGACCAGGGGGGAATCGAATGGGGGGGGGGGGGCCCCTTAAGTCTCCGTTCGTGACTCTCAGATCTCAATTTGGGGGAAAGGAGCAGCCACCTCCCCCAGTACTAAACTAGTACTAAAGTACATAGAACTCAGGTAGCCTAGGCTACCTTTCGTGATATATATATAGGTTGAATTTGTCAGCACTTCCCCCTTCCTCTGGCCATAGTTTTGGACTCCAAGATACCGCTTTACGCATGTTGCCCTCTTTGCACCAAGCGTTGATGACCGAGTTGTAGCAAATGGCGTTGGGCTCAGCGCCCTATCCACACATAACATGTCACAACAAGCGGTCCTGTAGGCTGTACAGGATGGGGCCCCCAAGATAGCTAGGTTGCCTTATCAGTGGCTTAACTATGGTTGGTTGTAGATATAATTATGGTCTTCATGGGCGTATAAACCAACTTATAACTGGTGGTGGCACCATCCTGTAGAATCCAGTGAAATTTCTCAATTTCTCCAAAGTCCTCAGCGAGTCCAAAGGCGCCTCCTTTTCCATTCGTGTCAACCATTGCTCCGCAAGGCTTGCATCACCTCGAAATGCGACTGACAACTGACTGACAACTGGTCCAAATTCACCTGGGAACTGTCCAAAATAACCACAAACAAATCCAGAATTAACAAACAAACTATTCATTGTGGTATGCTATGTGCTATGTGCAAAAAGGATAGCACATAGTCCAACAATAGCTGCCATGTGCCATGTGCCTCATGTGCTATGACAGCTTTGACAGCTTTGACAGCTTTGACAGCTTTGACTCTAAGATACTCTGAGTATTTGACAGCTGCGAGCGCACGCATGCAGAACGGAGCTGTAGCCTTCCACAACTCTTAGCATCTTGCTACAAATTGCATCATTCCACCGCTTCCAGTTTAGATACGGTGGTTGCTTCTTCTGAGCTGTCCAACATAAGTCCTCATCTCACATGTTCGGGGTTGTGTCGCGGCATATCCGCGTTTCAATATGATCAGAAGCGTCTGTGCCCCAGACTGACGACGTTCGGGTTAGTACCAGCCTTGAAGCGGTGATGGCGGGGAAAAAGGTGAAGGTCGCTTTCTTCTGGGCAGCCGGCTGTCTTCATTTTGTCAAGCCAATTCTCAGCACCTCACGGGCATGTCGGTCAAGTGCATCAAGAGAGCAAGATTGACTGGCGCAAATATATCAAATATGCTGCAAACAACACCAGATAGGAACACAAAGTTCTGATTTCACAAGCCAAGATCTTGGCTGCGCACAAAGCCTTCCCGGAACCCGGCTGTTTGAGGTGCGGGCGCGTCACATCTCCGGTTCGGGCACAAGCATCAATCACAGCATTGTAGCTCATGACATCAGGACTTGGAATGACAGGGCAATGGACGACTGACACGACATCACGATGTCATCAAAATCCAAAGAGATTCTTCAGCAGGGAAATGCTGCACAGTGTTTTCATGGAAACTTAGGTACACACCTCAAACCCAAAGAAGGCATTTTGGCCAACCAGTACCTGTCGTGCAAGGTCCAAAGATGGATCGCAATGGCTGTCTTGACGAATCGTCCAACGGCTATAACTTCTAAGACTCTGGCTCTGCCCGATCAACGGCATTGGACTTCGCACATGCGCTGATCAACTGGCACAGAGAATCAAAATGGATAAAACATGATAAAACCCGGTTGTTGTGAAGGGAGAATTTCTTAAAATTAGGGATCCCCAAAACCATGGGTGTCAATACTAAAATGGTCTAATTATCTAATGACTTGGATGATTTCGGGGTACCCCCATGACTTCGGAAAAAACCTCCAAGTCTTACAAGAAGCGATCAAAACTGAGATCACAGAAGTCTTTGAGAAAGCGTGTCAGCGCACCATATTCAAACAAATGCCATTAGGGCCTTGGATCTGCCACACTCGCCACGAAGCACTTCGAACGTTTTTTTTTGGACATGTCTGTTTTTTTCTGTGTCTGAACATGTCTGAACATGGGGTTATTCCTAAACTATACTGGTGAATCGTCATTTTCCTCATTAAAATGATGGTTTCTTGGGGGTTCCTGGCTGCCCTGAACCGGAACCCGGTTCCAATTTCTGGGGCAGTGGCTGCCCACATTCGAAGCCTCCAGGGCCTGGAGAAGTATCAGTATATATCATCACATATCATTGTAAATCATTATATATTATCATATATTAGTATATATTATTGTATATTATTAATTATTATTATATATTATTAATTATTCTTATATATTTATTACATACCAGTAGTACCGCACAAGGCGGTGGCGGAAGTTTCAAAAATAGGAAACCTATAGGAGAGGTTGGTTTGAATCAGGGATGGCAAAGCGAATCCACTGATGGACCGAAAGGAGGTGCTTGAGGTCTCCTCTCTGTCTCTCTCTTTCTCTGACTATCTACTTACCTACCAGCCTATCTTCTATGTATCTATCTATCTATCGATCTATCTATCTCTCTCTTTCTCTCTTTCATCTAATTACCTATCTACCTTTCTACCTATCTACCTATCTACCTATCTACCTATCTAACTATCTACCTATCTACCTATCTATCTATCTATCTACCTATCTATCTATCTCTCTCTCTCTCTTTCATCTGTCTATCTGTCTAGCTGTCTACCTGACTATCTATCTATCTATGTATCTATCTATCTATCTATTTATCTATCTATCTATCTGTCTATCTGTCTACCTGTCTATCCGTGGTGCAGTGTCATTCAGTGTATTGTAGTGTAGTGTAATGTAGTGTAGTGTAGTGGAGTGTAGTGGCATGTAGTGTAGTGTAGTGTAATGTAGTGTAGTGTAATTTCGTGTAGTGGAGTGTAATTTAGTGTAGTGGAGTGTATTGTAGTGGAGTGTAGTTGTGTAGTTGTAGTTGTAGTTGTAGTTGTAATGTAGTGGAGTGTAGTGTACTGTAGTGAAGTGTAGTGGAAGGTAGTGCAGTGTAGTGTAATGTAGTGTAGTGGAGTGTAGTGTAGTGTAATGTAGTGTAGTGTAATGTAATTTGGTGTAGTGGAGTGTAGTGGAGTGTAGTTGTGTAGTTGTGTAGTTGTAGTGTTGTAGTGTTGTGTAATGTAGTGTAGTGTAATTTCGTGTAGTGGAGTGTAGTTGCGTAGTCGTAGTTGTAGTTGTAGTGTCGTGGAGTGTAGTGTAGTGTAATGTAGTGAAGTGTAGTGGAAGGTAGTGTAGTGTAATGTAGTGTAGTGTAGTGGAGTGTAGTGTAGTGGAGTGTAGTGTAGTGTAATTTAGTGTAGTGGAGTGTAGTGGAGTGTATTGTAGTGGAGTGTAGTTGTGTAGTTGTAGTTGTAGTTGTAATGTAGTGGAGTGTAGTGTACTGTAGTGAAGTGTAGTGGAAGGTAGTGCAGTGTAGTGTAATGTAGTGTAGTGGAGTGTAGTGTAGTGTAATGTAGTGTAATGTAATTTAGTGTAGTGGAGTGTAGTGGAGTGTAGTTGTGTAGTTGTGTAGTTGTAGTGTTGTAGTGTTGTGTAATGTAGTGTAGTGTAGTGGAGCGTAGTGTAGTGGAGTGTAGTGTAGTGTAATGTAGTGTAGTGTAGTGTAGTTAAGCGAAGCGACATCTGAACCTCCAAAAGTGGTCCGAACCCCTGGTGCTTTTAACATTTTGACTTCCAAATGTGCTTCGCGCCACAACGGCGTGCACTTTTTGGACATCTGAACCTCCAAAAGTGGTCCGAGCATGGTGTGTTTTGTACATTTTGACTTGGAAATGTGCTTCGCGCCACAACGGCGTGCACTTTTTCAACATCTCAACTTCCAAACGTGGTCCGAAGACCGTCAGTTGTTAAACACTTTTGACTTGGAAATGTGCTTCGTGCCACAAACGGCGTGCACTTTTTTTTCGACATCGCAACTTCCAAAAGTGGTTCCGTCCAGAACCCCTGGTGTTTTAACATTTGGACTTGGAAAGTGCTTCGCGCCACACCGGCGTGCATTTTTTCATCTCTCATCCCCCCAGATGCCCCCCCCCCCGCCGCTTTAGCGAGCCTACTTTTCGACCCTCTGGAGCCACAAATCATTGGAAAAACACAGTGTTTCGCGACTTTCCTACCTTTTCTCGCATCTGCATCTTATTTCTTCTTACTCTTTCTCTTCTACTCTTCTTTCTTCTAATCTTTCTCTTCTCTCTGCCTCTTCCCTGCTCTGCTTTTCATCTGTCCATATTGTCGGAAGTTTGACTTCTAAACTTCCTTCGATTAGTATACAGTCATTATATATCATTATATATTAGTATATATAAGTATATATTATTAAATATGATTATATATTTGTATATATTATTATATATTATTATATATTAGTATATATTATTGTATGTTATTAAATATTATCATATATTATTATTAATTATTATATATTAATATATATTATTATATATTATCATTTATTATTATATATTATAATATATTATTATATATTACTATATCATTAGCTATATATAATATATTATTACTATATTATATATATGATTATTATATTATATATATAGATATATATGATTATATTATATACATAGATATAAATATATTATATACATATATTATATATTATTATATATGTTATTATTTTATATGTGTATATATTATATATTATTTTTTTTAGTCATATAATGTATATGTAGATTGATGTTTATTTATTGAGAAAAGTCATCGTCATTTACTTTTTTTGTATCTATGTTTATTGACTTATTTATCCCAAACAATTTGTGCTATGTACTTGTCCATTTGTTTGTTTGTCCACGTGTTCTCATTTATGTAATATATATATACATATATATAAATATGTAGATCATAGATTAATACAATGTATATATATATGTTGCATATCCATATACATGCGCAGTGCACATCCACACGTACGGTTTGTAGCAGAACTTCTGTTTCGGTGACAGTCAAATCACACCTCCAGCCAGTGCTCAGCTCGCTTCACATGCCCTGCCTGGCACAGGTGAGCATAACGTATGATGTATCTGTATTAGCGAGTCATGCATTCATATTAGCTTTTTAAGTCTCGTAAATAATGTTTTTTAAAACCTCTAGGAGAAAGTGAACGTGGGGGGTCCGAGTGCAAATGAACGTGGTGATGGACGTGCGTACGACCCAACGTACCTGTAAGATCGTGTTAGCGTACGAGTGGAGAAACCTGCTAGCATACGAGTGAACGGACGTGTGCGTACGAGTGGACGGACCTGTGCGCGTACGTGCGCGCGTTGACAGGTTCACTCGCCACGCTCGCCACGTTCGCGGACACGTACGAAAATAAGGCAGGCCGACTCAAGTAATGATTCTAATTGTACGCATATATATATATCAACTTGTGCTTACGTGGTGGTTTGGGTTGGTGGTTTGGAAGTCTGGGAATTGATGGTTTTGTAAACTTAGAAAAAACAAAAAATATCAAACCCTGCAAACAATGAAGTCGTTGAAAATAAAGAAAACAAATTTAAAACAACGATGATTGCTACCAGATTAGGTTTGTTTTTGAATTGATATTCATCTTGTATCTCGGAAAATGTACACTTATTTAATGTCCAATAATTTCACGTGATTGTTAAATTGATTATTGAATTCTAGTGCATTTTTCTGTACTTGTCTATTTATTTTTGAAATGGGGGAAAGACAGTTTCTTGAAACCGTGTGGTCCTATCCTGTACTCTGACTGATGCAGGTTTCATGGATTTTCCATGGAGCTTCCATGCAGGTTTCATGTTGGTTACATGCTGGGTTTGCTGATTTAGCTTACTGGTGTGTAACCTCCATGACAACTCCCTCGAACCTGCATGGAATCTGCATGGAACCTCCATGGAACCTGCATCAGTCAGAGTGCATGATAAAACCAACAAGTGTAGATAGAGGCATCACCTCCATAACGCACATGGAAACTGCATGAAATCTACATCAATTCTCCATGGAACCTGCATGGAACCTCCATGAAAACTGCATCAGTTAGAAGGCGCCATGCAACCATCACGTTTAGACACAAGAAACAACGGTTACCTACATGAAACCTCCATGAAACCTACATCAATTCTCCATGGAACCTGCGTGGATACTCCATCAAGGAAGACGCCATACAATCATCAGGTGTAGATACAGGGAACATGTTCGAGTTTTTTTTAATGGAAACTACATGGAAACCATCAGACGCTTTGATGCAAATCGATCGCAAATCGATCGTAACTAAATTGATCGCACAAAAACTGTTATAGCATCTGTGCGTTTTGATGTCGTTTTCACTAGGCCATCTGTCTTTGCTGATGTTTCTTTTGGTTTCTGTACTGGAAAAGTCAAATTCTTCCAGAATTTCTATTTATCCTGAGTGTTCGTTGCTTGGCGGTTTTGACGTTGGCAAGGCCAGGGTTTCAAGTGTGGACTTTGTAATGTGTCATTTTGATGTAGGATTTCGACGTTGTTTTGCGATCATTTTGCGATCCTTTGTCGATCGATTTGACATCGGCCTAAAAACGAATAAGAAGGCCATAAAACAACATCAATATGACATCGACAAGAACCTAAGGCCTGTAGAAAACGGCACTTGCCAATTCATATATTCATATGGTTTGGTGATCATAGAATCCAAGATGACATAAGTGAGTTCATTTCTCTTGGTGGTTTCGTCTGTTAATTAACTTAGTTTGCAATATTATATGTTAGGAACCTCCATCAAGTTGACACCGAGACAGACATAAAACTCCATCAAAATGACATCAAACAAAAATTCACATTTGAACCTTGCCAAAATCGAAACCACCAAGCAGTGAACACTCAGGATAAATAGAAACTCTGGAAGAAATTGACTTTTCCAGTGCAGAAACAAAAAGGGACATCAACAAAGACAGATGACCTAGTGAAAACGACATCAAAATGCACAGATGCTATGACAGTTTTTGTGTGTTTTTTTACGATCAGTTTACGATCGATTTACGATCGATTTGCGATCAATTTGCGTCAAAGCGTCTGATGGTTTCCACGTAGTGTCCACTAAAAAAAAGTCTCTGTTCCCTGTATCTACACCTGGTGCTTGTATGGCGCTTCTTGATGGAGTATCCATGCAGGTTCCATGGAGAATTGATGTAGGTTTCATGGAGGTTTCATGGAGGTTTCATGTAGGTTCCGTTGTTTCTTGTGTCTAAACGTGATGGTTGCATGGCGCCTTCTAACTGATGCAGTTTTCATGGAGGTTCCATGCAGGTTCCATGGAGAATTGATGTAGATTTCATGCAGTTTCCATGTGCGTTATGGAGGTGATGCCTCTATCTACACTTGTTGGTTTTACCACGCACTCTGCCTGATGCAGGTTCCATGGAGGTTCCATGCAGATTCCATGCAGGTTCGAGGGAGTTCTCATGGAGGTTACACACCAGTAAGCTAAATCAGCAAACCCAGCATGTAACCAACATGAAACCTGCATGGAAACTGCATGGAAACTCCATGAAACCTGCATCAGTCAGAGTACTGTACAGGATAGGACCGCAATGGAATTTGTTTCAAGAGAAACTGTTTTTTTCTCTGCTTTGCTTTCATGTAGATTATTTAGATAGAATAGATAGGTAAGGTCACTTGGATAGAGTAGGCATATTAGATAGATAAGATAGAAAAGGTAGACTAGGTGGATTAGATAGATTAGATAGATTAATAGACAGACTTGAAAGATTAGAGAGGTTGGACTAGATTAGCTTAGATTAGATTAGATAAGATCAGAGAAGATTAGACTAGTTTGATAGACAAATAGACAAACAAATAAATAGATAGATAATGTAGATATATGAGATTGGTTGATAGATTGATAGATTGATAGATTGATAGATTGATAGATTGATAGATTGGTAGATTGATAGATAGATAGATAGATAGATAACAGACAAACAAATAGATATATTGGATATGATATATTAGATAAGTAAATAGATAGACAGACAGACAAACAAACAGATAGACAGATACTTAGAAAAATAGATTAGATTAGATTAGATTGGGTTAGATTAGATTTATTAGATTTAGATTTAGGAGATTTAGGAGATTTAGGATTTAGGATTTAGATTTAGAATTAGATTTAGATTTAGGATTTAGATTTAGGATTTAGATTTAGGATTTAGAATTTAGGATTTAGAATTAGGATTTAGAATTAGGATTTAGAATTAGGATTTAGATTTAGGATTAGGATTTAGAATTAGGATTTAGAATTAGGATTTAGCATTAGGATTTAGCATTAGGATTTAGCATTAGGATTTAGCATTAGGATTTAGCATTAGGATTTAGCATTAGGATTTAGCATTAGGATTTAGCATTAGGATTTAGCATTAGGATTTAGCATTAGGATTTAGGATTTAGCATTAGGATTTAGCATTAGGATTTAGCATTAGGATTTAGCATTAGGATTTAGCATTAGGATTTAGCATTAGGATTTAGCATTAGGATTTAGCATTAGGATTTAGCATTAGGATTTAGCATTAGGATTTAGAATCAGGATTTAGCATTAGGATTTAGCATTAGGATTTAGCATTAGGATTTAGCATTAGGATTTAGAATTAGGATTTAGCATTAGGATTTAGAATTAGGATTTAGAATTAGGATTTAGCATTAGGATTTAGCATTAGGATTTGGAATTAGGATTTGGAATTAGGATTTAGAATTATGATTTAGAATTATGATTTAGAATTAGGATTTGGAATTAGGATTTGGAATTAGGATTTGGAATTAGGATTTCGAATTAGGATTTGGAATTAGGATTTGGAATTAGGATTTAGAATTAGGATTTAGAATTAGGATTTAGAATTAGGATTTAGAATTAGGATTTAGAATTAGGATTTAGAATTAGGATTTAGAATTAGGATTTAGAATTAGGGATTTACGAATTTAGGGATTTAGAATTAGGATTTAGTATTAGGATTTAGCATTAGGATTTAGGAATTAGGATTTTTAGAATTAGGATTTAGAATTAGGATTTTTAGCATTAGGATTTAGCATTAGGATTTAGCATTAGGATTTAGCATTAGGATTTAGCATTAGGATTTAGCATTATTTAGAATTTAGCATTAGGATTTAGCATTAGGATTTAGCATTAGGATTTAGCATTAGGATTTAGAATTAGGATTTAGAATTAGGATTTAGAATTAGGATTTAGAATTAGGATTTAGAATTAGGATTTAGAATTAGGATTTAGAATTAGGATTTAGGATTTAGAATTAGGATTTAGAATTAGGATTTAGAATTAGGATTTAGAATTAGGATTTAGATTAGGATTTAGAATTAGGATTTAGAATTTAGGATTTAGAATTAGGATTTAGAATTAGGATTTAGAATTAGGATTTAGAATTAGGATTTAGAATTAGGATTTAGAATTAGGATTTAGAATTAGGATTTAGAATTAGGATTTAGAATTAGGATTTAGTTAGGATTTAGAATTAGGATTTAGAATTAGGATTTAGAATTAGGATTTAGAATTAGGATTTAGAATTAGGATTTAGAATTAGGATTTAGAATTAGGATTTAGAATTAGGATTTAGAATTAGGATTTAGAATTAGGATTAGAATTAGGATTTAGAATTAGGATTTAGAATTAGGATTTAGAATTAGGATTAGGGACTAGAATTAGGGATTAGAATTAGGGATTAGAATTAGGGATTAGAATTAGGGATTAGAATTAGGGATTAGAATTAGGGATTAGGATTAGGGATTAGGATTAGGGATTAGGATTAGGGATTAGAATTAGGGATTAGGATTAGGGATTAGGATTAGGGATTAGGATTAGGGGTTAGGATTAGGGATTAGGATTAGGGATTAGGATTAGGGATTAGGATTAGGGATTAGGATTAGGGATTAGGATTAGGGATTAGGGGGATTAGGGATTAGGATTAGGGATTAGGATTAGGATTAGGATTAGGGATTAGGATTAGGGATTAGGGATTAGGATTAGGGATTAGGATTAGGGATTAGGATTAGGATTAGGGATTAGGATTAGGGATTAGGATTAGGGATTAGGGATTAGGGATTAGGATTAGGGATTAGGATTAGGGATTAGGGATTAGGATTAGGATTAGGGATTAGGATTAGGGATTAGAATTAGGGATTAGGATTAGGGATTAGGATTAGGGATTAGAATTAGGGATTAGAACTAGGGATTAGGATTAGATTAGATTAGATTAGATTAGGATTGGATTAGATTAGGATTGGATTAGATTAGGATTGGATTAGATTAGATTAGGATTAGATTAGATTAGGATTAGATCAGATTAGGATTAGATTACATTAGGATTAGATTAGATTAGGATTAGATTAGATTAGGATTAGATTAGATTAGGATTAGATTAGATTAGATTAGATTAGTTAAACAAAAAATAAAACAAATACAAAACACAAAAAAAAAACATTTTTCAAATCTATTTTGCACATAACTCTGATTTCCCAGACTTCCAAACCACCAACCCAAACCGCCATATAAGTATAACCTGAATATATATATATATATAATATACATTATATACACATACGTACACCAAAATAAGCTTGAGCACGCACACGTACTGACACTAACACTACAGCACCACTGTTGTTGCAAAGAATTGTGCCAAAGCTCTGTTCAGCTTTGAAGCGGCAGCATGATCCTTTGGAAGAAACAAACAGAAAACAGACCAAAAGAGTCGCCATGTGCAGCCAAAAGAATCAGCATTGGAACGGCAAGATTAGCGCAAGCAGAAAGGGCTCATCGGAATTGGTAGGAACCACTAGACTCTAGACATCTCTAGACTGGATCAGTGAATCTCAAAGAAAGCGCAAGAGGAAAGTACGTTTGAAGCAAAACCGTTGTCATAGCATTAACGGAAGAGACATGAAGAGACTTTTAAAAAAAATATATACTTTTTGCCGGTTCGCCTTGGCAAAGGCTGAGATCAATGCTCCATAACATACCAGGGTTGGCCTGCCAGGACGATTTGGTGCCAGGACGATTTGGTGCCATCCTGTGGCTATCTCCCGCAAACACTCCGTCGTTGGGTCATTCGTCACTGGGCTTTCACACTTGGATCCGCTTGCCAGAATCTTCCTGGCCAAGATTGTCAAAATATGTCAAAATTACCAGCGACATCGGCCAAGACTACAACCCTCAACTCCAAGAAAAATACCAAAGGTTTTCAAGAAATAATCAATTTCAAAGATATACCAAAGGTTTAGAAAAGCTGTTTCTTTGAAAACAGTGCAAACCATTGCAAACCTCTCTGGGTCACAGGCTCCATGGCGGCTTCTGCGGCATCTGTATCCCCAGCTTTTGCCGCCACCTGTGGCCGCTCCAAGACTTGAAACCTTCAAAAAGAGATACTGTACCTCTGCTTGAAGCCTTTACCTTTACTACTTGAAAGTGTTTCAGTGATTTTCATAATTGTATACATACGTATATTTATGTATTAAATTATATATGTGTGTGTGTGTTTACAGCAAGGCCTTGAATTTCCTCCCAGAACTTTGCTTCTGCTGCTTGGCACATTTGCTTGAACGTGTCCAAGCCTTTGTCACTAGCCAAATACAACAGCAACTGGACTTGGCCCAGCTCTGGAAGCTTCGCTGACTTACAACATGGAACCGAACCTGGGCACTAGGAACATTCAGTACTTTCTGAAACTTACACTAACTATGTGCTTATTGTATTGTGCTTCAATCTGGTGACCTTCACCAAATTTGACCCGCTTTGCAAAGACGATCTCGCCCCGACCTGGAGTCTTCCAAGCAGACCCGAAACGATATCCTCCTCCTTAATCTTCCTGCACTATCCACATCACCCATGGATTTCAAAACTTGGGTCTGAATATCATCTTCTGAATATCATCTGAATGGAAATCATGATCCAGCAGAATCCAGCAGGCCAGTGTTGGGATCGGCGAGGGAGAATAAAGCTGCGCCTTTCAACACCGCAGCTTTGCTTCTTTGTTGACGTTTGCCTTGGGCCCCGGAGTGTCTAAGATTGGCAGAGCGTGAGTCACTCATCTTTCACAAAAACACATCTCTGATGAGGCCGGCACCGGCGACTGTTGAAACTCAGCTCCAGTAGGAGCAGCAAGCCAACAACTGTCAACTCCTGAAACTGTCGTGACTGTCTTGGACGACTGAGGATTGATTTTTTAGTACCCGCCCATGAAATCATTCTAAATCCACTGGTTCATCATCATTTTTCCTAATGAAATGGCTGCAGCAGGGAGCTATTCCCCCATTCTCAGCAGCCGTGGCACCTCGACTGCTGCCGGAACTGGCAAGTGCATGTCCAGCGCCGTGAAGAACTTGGCCGAGCTGCTGGTACCAGATTTTTTTCACGACTGAGGAACACAAACATATCAAACATGTCAAATATATGACATAAAGGGTAATAAACATAATATGGGTAATAAATAAACATAATTAGGTGATACCCATATATTACTCTGATAAATAAACATAGACCCTGAAAATCATCCATTTTTCATGGAAACTAATCTTCCAACTACTTCCAACCCCGATGACTGCCAGGGTCTATGTTAATTTACTAGAGGGTATCAAATATATCAAATGGATCGAAACCATTACCATATTTTCGGGGATGTTTGGGGAATCTTCATTTGCCGGGTTCACCATGGTGCCAGGACCCACAGCCGTATGTCGAGCCCCAAGCGAATGATGTTGCAACAGCAAGCAGCATGGTCCGCACCTGAGAATCGTACACGACATACACGACAACATTGTGACTTTTGTTTGCTGCCATGTTGCAATATGTTACAATATGCCCAGGTACTGTTCCCTATGTTCCCCATGTTCCCTAGCTCTCTTCTCATGCCAGGTTTTGGCTGTCTTCTAAATCGGCACGGCGATATTGATAGTGGATGAGGTGGTCAAGAAAGAATAGCCTCAGCGAACACAAGCCAGGCTTGATGCCTTGCCACCGCAAGAAACACAGGGCTTTTCACAGGGCACAGCATGGCACAGCGAGAAAGCTGGAGCTCTGAGTCACTTGAGGATTTTGCATGAGCTCCGGAATGCCATGATGCCTCCGATCGTAGTAGGCCTAGTAGGCTCTCCGCAAGACTGCGCAGCTGGTTTTTAGGTGGAACATGGTGGAACATGGTGGAACACACTCACCGGAAGAACTTTCAGCTGGACTAGGTTTGAACACATCCACAAAAGAACAAAGAAGGGACTTACAGTATTGATTTTGTTGTATCCCGAAGGCACAAGGAAAAATCGAATGGCTTACAGGCGGCTACACTGAAGACTGAGTTGCTTTGCATGGCAGACATTCAAAGTTGCTGGTATTGACTTCGCTGGCTGAGCAGGTCACTCTAGTGAATAAAGAGACCTGAACACTTGGAGCTCAGAGAAGAGGCAAAGATTCAGCTCAGGGCATGTGGAAAACTGAATGGCCCAATGGACCCAATGGACCGAATGTCAACCCCAAAAAATCCCACAAAATCCCAGCATTTCTATGGCTATGTTTGCCATCCCCATGGGCCCGTCGTTGGGTTTCCCAGCAATGTGAGGTGAACTCGAAGGGATCCAAGTTCAGAGTGCTTCGCCACCGTCGAAGGGGTGTCGGCCGGTAGCGGTGCTTTCTTTGCTGAAGCCAAGCGCCAAAAACACATATGACTTGAAAGATGCATGTGTATATATCATTATATCATTATATGTCTACATATTCTAACTTTTTTAACTTGTACACATGTAGAAATAGAATGAAATAACCTGTACAGCCTGTACGTGTATATTCGTTTAACGCACGGACTCGGCTAAGTTGGCGAAGTCCGCTAAGTGGGAGACAGTTGTCATTCCGGTGGACCCACTTGGTGTTTCCTATCCAGCTTCAATGGACGGCTACCACATTTTTCGCAGCATCTCTCATCTCAACAAATGCTTCAATTTCAAACGGTGCGGTGAAGGCCAGAAGCGGCACTTGTTGTGCCTCATTTCTGATACACCTGCGACAAATGAGCACAACCCGCCTCCACAAATATGACAGAGACTTGCAATTCACAGTCGCAACACTTTCATGGAGGCAAGTCCAGGGGCAAGGCTCGCTTCACTGCTACATTGATAAGCAATGTCTTGTCCTCAGAAACCAGCAAAATCTGAGTGCAGCTTTAATGGTGATGACAATGTCCGGACCAGGGTTTGAGAACAGTTCGTGCAAAAATTGAGATGTGTTGTGACAGAAGCTGCTGCATTCATCAGTCTGAGTCAGTAATTTCCAGGCAATGTATATACATATACATCTATATACATATTTATGTATACATACATGCTTATGGATATTATATATATACCTATTTGTGTATGTATATATATATATATTATGTATATGTATATATATTATGTATATGTATGTGCATGTATACAAAGATGTATGTATATATACTATATACTACATATCTAATATATTAAATTATATATATATCAATTACATATATACCTATCTAAAATTATATCTATCGAACTGTTCAAAGCACAGCTCGGTGACGACGACCATAGATACTACAAGGACGACCTTGTTTTTGGATGTCTTTTGGTGCTCTGCCATGTTGAATGATGGAAAAGACTGTCATGACTTGACTATAGAATGACTTGGAAGTAATCACCGCTGAATCAAGCTGGGATTGGCTTCACAGGCTAACTGCTTCGGTGGACAGATCTACAAAGACATCCCGCCAAACCTTGAGACTGCTCAGCTCTTCGATATCTGATATCTCCATCGCCCAATATTTTTTGTGAGACCTTGCTAGGATACGAAACTCACCTGGTGACTAATATTAGTTCAATGATTTTGCCTGTTACACACCTTCTCCGGAATCCCTTAAGTTTTCCTCGTTGTTCCCCGGTATAGAAGTAGTTGAGGCTTCTGAGCCTGCGACCATCAGGCCTCCTTTGTTGTCCATGACGAAGTCAAGGGCCCGGTTTCCTCAGGATGACTCCTAGACAGATCCTTGGACTTCGGGAGGGTTAACCCCAATGTAGAGGAGATTCCAATGGGGAAAGCTGTCCAGCTGTTCACAATTCTGCACCAGATCTGTACCAGAAATTCAGAGTGCTAATGGGAACAGATCCTTGAGGCCCAGACCACCAGCAGTCGTTGGGCGGGGACCCAGCCTCTTCTCCTCCAAGGGCACGCGGCATTGGTCATTGAAAAAGCAGGGACTGGTGTATCCAGGTGCTCCTGTGTTTTTTTGTACTTGTGCAAGCAATAGTCACTTTGGAACCCACATGATCCCATGTTTAAGAATAGGAACTGAGAACTGATCTGTTGTCGTCATAAGAGCTGAGATTGGTGAGGGTTCTGATGAACAGAACTACTGTACAGAAGAGTTCTTCTGGAATCATCCCCTCCCCAAAGGCAAGAAAACAAAGAGAAATGCTGAGATGAGAAGACATGCAAAGTCAAATTGAATGATGGAAATGGAAAGAACCTTCAGCAAACAAGAAGCTCTGATGAGAACAAGCCCGACATGTGGCTGCAAACGGGACTAGGAGCCATGAAGCCAACCACAACTTGGACAAAAGGTAGCAGAACCGCTGGATCAGGGGATTGAAGTACAATTGTCAATTGTTGAATCCTGGGGAAACAAAAGGTATGAAAAAATCAACATTTTCACTGTAATAAGTAATATAATAAAAAAGGAGGGAAGTCTCGGGATGAGGATGAGGATGATGAGGATGATGATGATGATGATGATGATGATGCTGATCATGATCATGATCATGATCATGATCATGATGAAAATGAGGTTGATGATGATGAAAGTGAGGAGGAAAATAAGGAGGACGCGGAGGGGGACAAGGATGATGACAAGGATGAGGTTGATGATGATGAGGATGACGAGGATGACGAGGATGAGGAGGATGAGGGGTGCGCTGCTGTTGTCTGAGCCGACTATCCTCCGTCTGGGCTGGTGCTCCTTATTGAAGCCCTATTTGAATGGCCGGTGAGCAGGGAAGGCATGTGAACTTGTTTGCTAGCGTTGATTTTTAGTCAAACTTAGAACAAAGGGATCACCTTTCTCTAGCCAGGAAAAGAAAAGCGGTAAATGCGCGAACATAAGCGCAGTACGAAAGGACCCAGCCCCTAGGTGCGAGAATGCCTTGTCTTAGGCCGAGGCCCGCTACATCGACAAAGAACATGGTCGGGTATTTTCGCGCATTGGTCATGTTTGCTTATCCTTTCTACAATTTGTCAATGAGACCCCATGCACGAAGGATAGAAATTGCCTAAAATGCTGGCAGAAGCTGTGCTGTCCAGGACTAGCTTGAAGGCGGGTGTAGAACATGCTGAACGAGTGCCACAAGAAAACGTAGCAAGTGCCTTGTGACACAAAAATCTGACAAAAATGATGGCAAAGTCTATTTGCAGAATTGTCGCCAGAAACACCTTGCAACAGTGTGGAGGAGTCTTTGATAAATAAACTGCGAAAATGTGCTGAAAGAAGAGCGGCGAAAGAAGCATTTTTCGGAGCTATGCACATCACGCAGCAAACTACATACATATAAGAAAGAGAGATGAACAAAACATGGTACAAAGAAGAGAAAAATTAAAGTCATCAAGAGTATTCAAGGGTCATATTGAAAGAAAGGCAATTGCAAAAGGGAGCTGTTGGAAGGGCTTGTTGAATGAGGGCTGTGACGAAACTAAAGTAACAGTGAAGGCAGTCGTAAGCGCTACAGGAACAGTGCAATAAAGGAAAAAAACAGTAAAAGAAGTTGATGAGAAAACTGTTGCGCGGAGAACAGTTCCAAGCACTGTGGAAACAATGCACATACATGATGGGGGAAACAAAATGACAGAAGCGTTGCAACGAAGTGTTGAATCGAATCAAACTGCTGATATCTTTGACATTGCCCAAATCAGCCCGAAAGATAAAGTCCAGATCTGCTACAGCTATGCTGATATGGAATTTTTAGTTGTAGATATAGATGCACATGTAGATACAGGATGATATAGGTACATGGTGCCCGAGAACAATACTCTGGATAATCCAAATCTCCCGGACCAGGTGGTAATCGAAAGGGGAGGGGGCCCACCCCTAAGACGAAATGAAGACTAAACGAGCAAAAATCAGGGATTCGTAGACCCAGCCACAAGTACTAAAGTACATTGAACTCAGGTAGCCTAGGCTACCTTTCGTGATCAAATTGAGGTGATAGTAGAGCCAGTTCCAGGCAGCAACAGCAACAGCTCCAGGAGTCACTGCTTGGCGACCCCAACAAGACCCAACTGAAAAGGCTCCTCGTCGTAGCTCAATTCTACCTCAGACTGACTCCAGGATCCAGCAGTTGTCTGGAGACTGCTTGAAACCTCAACAGAAATCGAAACAGAAACTGAGAAAAGGGAGAGTTCAGCCAGGCTCGGCACAGGAATGTAGAGTTGACGTATGCCACCTTCTCGCATTCCTCGAAGTCCCTGCGACTTACGACATCTGCCACTGCATTGCGACATGAAAGCAGTGAGAGAATGCCAAAGGCCTCATCAATACCTTTGATGACAGTGCCATCGCCGATCTGACAGGAATCCAGAGAGAGAGTTCGAAGATCTAGCCATCACAGTCATGCTTGGAGATCATATATACAGTAAGTAGTAAGTCTCGGTCACTTGTTACAAGCCTCTTAGGTCTGGGCCTGACATCTCACAGGATTTGGATCAACTCCAGCCATCTGAACCACCAAAGATTGGGCACAGATGCTGACAGACGCTCACCTTTTGCCGAACGGAAAAAAGAACGGCGAACCTCGCCTTTTGCAGCGTCTGTGTCTCAAAGGGACGACCAAAGTAATTGATGGTGTAACCTGGCACCGAGTCCGCACCGAGTCCGGAAAGAAAAAACGCCGGGCGGCACTCAGTACGACAAAGTCGGAATCGTCTCAGACCAAGCCTTCCCATGTGAAGACAACAAAGTCTCCCTCTTTCGCTTCTGATGTTCCGTTTCTGGCACTGCAAAAAAACGGCAACCAACCAATAATGTGGAAAGCAAACGCAAAAACATCCACAGCTGACCTGTAGTCTTCAGAATTCTATCATCAGTTTTTCAACCAAAGGATTCCCAGTCCACAGTTCTTTCATCAACTCTTTCCCATGATTCCAGAGGCTGCTGTTTCGAACAGGCCCGAATTCTCTGTATTTTGCATGTATATTGCATATATATATAGTTGTTCATATGATATTATATTATATGATATGATATGATATGATATAATATAATATATACATACCTGTATTAATTATTAGATATGTTCACACAGTTTTATGTAGACTCCATTCGTTTGGCGACATGTTGTCTGGACATTTTGGTCCTCCGCCCCCAACTGCGGGAAGTGCTGTCTAGGGGCCATCGTAGGCATCTATGCATGGATTATTTTCATTTATTTTCCACAAGGTTTTTAATATTTGGAATGTCGCAGCTATATGTTTCCCAGGCCAACCGAATTCTGAAACAGAACATAAAAGAAAGTTGGTTGGAAAATACTTGTGGAAAAGAAAGAAGCTAAACCTCTATAGATCTGCTGTGCAGGCTGTGGAAATTGTCCTCTTATCACATGTTTTCCTAAGTCTGCCCCTAACTTCACTCATTCTATCGATTGCATTCCTCTCCCAGCGCCTTCCAGGGTTGACATCTTTTACCTCAGTGCACCAAGAAAAGCCCGTCGATTTGCAATTTATGCCCCTGCTTTCAGTGAGGAAATGTGGAAGTGGTGCGAAAATCAGAGTCTTGATCGAATTTTTAATTTCAACACGTTGCAAAACGGTCACGGCGGTTCAGTTTTTCAATGGAACTTCCAATGGAACTGCCCAATGTATCCACTTGCAGGCCACTTGGCAAGGCCGTAAATCCTGGCACCCTGCCGCTCTGTGAAATTGTCTGTATACTAAGAATGACTAGGATACATAAACTGGTTGGTGGTTAGCCAGTTGGGGTTATTATTCCCAATATATGGAAAAGCAAAAAATGTTCCAAACCACCAACCAGTAAAGATACTTCTTTTGAAAGATGCTGATGTTGTGGATTGAAAGAAAGAGACATAAACAGCTGCATAAAGACACGCTGCGGAAAGAAGCTCTGCCTCGTTCTTTTCTTCCCCAAACCCCTGCATCATCAAATGCTCGGACGATCTGAGATGGTCAAATTGCTGAGAGTCTAAGTACTGGACGGCTTCAAACCTTCTTGCTTCTCATAGCCCAAATCAACCTGCAAAGCACGGGGAGAACTCGTTGTCGAGCAATCCCAGCGCGAATGACGCCCAAGCATCTGAAAGGGTCACTCCAAACCTCGCTGGCCATACTCGGAAAGCTACCTGCCAAGCTCATCACCTCACACAGACACGATATGAAACGATCAGAAACGACCCAAAGGCCCGAACATCCACAAGACTTCAACGCATCAAGGTGCAAAGGACACCACAGGCCCCAACTGGAGCAACCAGCCAAGAAAGCATGGTCCTGCGCTTTTCAGGCGCAAGCTCAGGTGTCGGCTTGAGAATCACAAGGAGCAAGATGTCACAAACCAGCTTCATGATATCCAGAATATGTCTGCAAAGTGGATAGTTTTTTTGAAAAAGAATGCAGAGAAAAATGCTCTCCAGGGTCAGGTTTGCAGGGATGACACGTGGGTGACCTAGAGCAACAGCAACTAGAAAAAGAAGGAAACGACGACATAAAGGACACAAACAAGACAGAAACGAAACGGGTTTGACACATAAACGCTGGACATACATGAAACGTCATGAAACATGGTGAAACGTCAGTAAACTTTGCGAAACGTCAGGAAACTGCGCCTCCGCATGCAATGAGAAGCTGAAAGCCTTTGATCTGGGATCGCTTCCACCTCGAGTCTTCCGGGAAATTCCGAAGCGAGGAGTGTTGAGACTGTCGAGGCTGTGGAGGCTGTGAAGGCTGTGGAGGCTGTCAAGGCTTTGGCCAGGGAGGGAGGCAAATTCGTGGCCTCAGCGAGGTCGAGGCAGCGAGTGACACTGTGAGTCGGCAAGTTTCATCTAGAATCATCTAGCACATCGCTCATTTCACAAAAACTAGCATCGTTATCCCCCTTGCAATTCGGCCTCCGACCCTGACCCCTGAATCTTTAAGGGACCACTGGTAGCCTCTTAAAGAATGCGAACCAGGGTAAATTTCGGCCTTAAAGAATCTAACCCCAATGAACCAAGATTGCAACACAGTAGCCAGGTATGTCCCTTTAAAAAATTGGAGACCCAAGTTGCACACCAAGGGGTGCCCCTTTAAAGAATTGGATACCCAAGTTGGAGTCAAGCATGAAATGTTCTGAATATTTTTAAGATTTTGGATAGAAATTTCATTTTTCAACATATTTTGACAAAAAATCGAAAACCAAAACTTTCAAAATATCATTCCAATACCTTGAGAATGACCCACTGAATGTTTTAAACCTCATTGTGGACATAATTTATTGATAGAAATTATTTTTTAAAATTTATAAAAGTGACATTTCTCATTTTGCATCATTTTCCCGTTGTGTTTTCCCCCCTTTGGGTCTCCCCTTGGGGTCTCCCCGTTGTGTCTTCCTCGTTGTACCTCCCCGTTTTGGGGTCGAAGTCCTCGGGCAGGGCTTTCCGCCATTTACATGCATTCACTATCATTCACTCTGACGTTTGGCATCTCCAGAAGCGGCAGGCATTTGACACACAATCCCAAACATATCAAAAAAATCCGAAAAACAAGTTCCTAGAATCTTCCTAGGAAGGCCTCTTAAAGAATAGGAGACCGTCAAACAACAGGATTTCCTTAAAAAATAGAACTGTTTTTTTTTGCCGGCCAGGTATGTCCCTTAAAAAATACAGTTTTTTAAAGACATCATGTCCTGAACTCTTTAGGCTAAATTCCCAGGAGGATCCTAGGAAGGCCTCTTAAAGAATAGGAGACCGTCAAACAACAGGATTTCCTTAAAAAATAGAACTGTTTTTTTTTTGCCGGCCAGGTATGTCCCTTAAAAAATACAGTTTTTTAAAGACATCATGTCCTGAACTCTTTAGGCTAAATTCCCAGGAGGATCCAAGGAAGGCCTCTTAAAGAATAGGAGACCGTCAAACAACAGGATTTCCTTAAAAAATAGAACTGTTTTTTTTTGCCGGCCAGGTATGTCCCTTAAAAAATACAGTTTTTTAAAGACATCATGTCCTGAACTCTTTAGGCTAAATTCCCAGGAGGATCCAAGGAAGGCCTCTTAAAGAATAGGAGACCGTCAAACAACAGGATTTCCTTAAAAAATAGAACTGTTTTTTTTGGCCGGCCAGGTATGTCCCTTAAAAAATACAGTTTTTTAAAGACATCATGTCCTGAACTCTTTAGGCTAAATTCCCAGGAGGATCCAAGGAAGGCCTCTTAAAGAATAGGAGACCGTCAAACAACAGGATTTCCTTAAAAAATAGAACTGTTTTTTTTTTGCCGGCCAGGTATGTCCCTTAAAAAATACAGTTTTTTTAAGACATCATGTCCTGAACTCTTTAGGCTAAATTCCCAGGAGGATCCAAGGAAGGCCTCTTAAAGAATAGGAGACCGTCAAACAACAGGATTTCCTTAAAAAATAGAACTGTTTTTTTTTGCCGGCCAGGTATGTCCCTTAAAAAATACAGTTTTTAAAGACATCATGTCCTGAACTTTTTAAGCTAAATTCCCAGGAGGATCCAAGGAAGGCCTCTTAAAGAATAGGAGACCGTCAAACAACAGGATTTCCTTAAAAAATAGAACTGTTTTTTTTTTGCCGGCCAGGTATGTCCCTTAAAAAATACAGTTTTTTAAAGACATCATGTCCTGAACTCTTTAGGCTAAATTCCCAGGAGGATCCAAGGAAGGCCTCTTAAAGAATAGGAGACCGTCAAACAACAGGATTTCCTTAAAAAATAGAACTGTTTTTTTTTGCCGGCCAGGTATGTCCCTTAAAAAATACAGTTTTTTAAAGACATCATGTCCTGAACTTTTTAAGCTAAATTCCCAGGAGGATCCAAGGAAGGCCTCTTAAAGAATAGGAGACCGTCAAACAACAGGATTTCCTTAAAAAATAGAACTGTTTTCATCTAGCATATCGCTCATTTCACAAAAACTAGCATCGTTCAACAAAACCTTCGGCCAAATCGCAAGCATCACGAGGATCACGAAGACACATGCACAGGACACACTTCCCATTTGTCGCCTCTCGTCCAAGTCTGCAAGGTCCCTTTTTCTTGTGACACAGTGAGCAGTCTCAAACACTGTGTAGAAGTAAAAGTCAAGAGGCCTCATGATGTGGGCCGCATGTCCGGCCCTCCATTTCTTCAAAGCGCTGGAATGCACAGGCCTGGAAGCACTTCCCACCTGGGCACTGAATTTAAGATCAAAATGTGTCCCAAAAAACAAAAAAATGTAGGTATCAACAAACCCATGTGGCACCTCGCGCAGCGCATCCCGTGCTTTCATAGCTTCAAAGATGGTCAGAGACAGTCAGTTTTCGGACACCAAGGGAGTTCCAAAGGTTTCCTGTTGGCTAAGAGGTCAATCTACATGCCTTGTGGTAGCTACTTAAGCTGTGGTCTGACTGGGAAGCCCTTCACGGCAATGTTGGCAGCGCATGACAGTTGTAAACGGTGCACAGAACTAGGCACAAGCGTATCAAACAAAGGCATCAAGAGGCAACAAATGGCAACTCGGAAAATTTTGGCAAACCACAAGGAAGCTGAAGGCAAATCCTCAAGAACAACGAGGATGTATCATGAAGCTGCGCTCATTCCTTTTCATCTGTGACTTCCTCGCTGCAAATCATCAGGCTTTCGTAAACCTGGGGCCGGGCAAGCCGCCAACTCTCCAACAGTAAATTCAGAATCCCAAAATTGCGCCAAGATGCATCCCAAAAGAAAGCCAGTAGTTCAATAAACGCCGACCTGCACTTTTCTCAACACAGCAACGCTAGGCATTCCAGGCCAGAGACCCAAACACGGTTGCGCTTCGAATGGATTGCATGATTTGTGGATTATTTGAACCATTCAATAAGCACAAGGCAGAAACAAATGTCAGAAAATTCTGTTCAAGTTGCCTGTAGTGTTGCGGAAGGTACCTGGGCAAACGGGCAAACCTGCCATATGTCAACACAGCATGGATTGCTGGACTGCCTATGTCAGCATATGTCAGCAATACTGAGACTCGGCCACTCGGCCTCTGTGTCAGAAATATGGCACCAGGCCAAACCTTCCACGAGTTAATAACAACCTCAGCAGTTTCAATCACCCCAGGTGGCAATGGGCAAATCGTTGATGCCAATGCAAAGCAACACTGGGCATCAGCTATGCACTGATTGCACTGATTGCACTGCATACTGTTTGTTTAAATAAAGTTGCCTTCGCAAAATTCCGTTGGACGTTGGCGTGCACCTACGCAAAAGTGGAGAGGCATTGAGAGATAGATGTACAGTATGCATACTCAGAAACGGTTGCCTTTTCATGTACTTTGCCACGTGATGTAACATTTGTCCATAGGGACAAAGTCTGTTTTTAATTACTATGCAAAGCAGAAAAGGGAAAGCTCTTGCCAAAGAAACACGTAGATGACTTCTGGAGACAGAGATACATATGAGTAGTATTGAAAACCCTGTTGATTGATTATGACATTGGGGACAAATGATAAATAAATGATAAAAATGACAAAATTATCCAGATCTATCCAGAACTATATTGGGGATTATCATGATCCATAGGGGAAGACTAATAACTAATAACTAATAACTATAATAGCTCATATAGAGACCTGTCCCCGCCTCCGCCCAGCGCTTGCCGCTCAGCACACCAGTAGCGACCTCTCTTGTGCAGCACTTGGGACTCACGCGACGCAAACTGCAACGAGTCCCAATGCCACCACGCTGCGAAGCAATAGAAAACCATGATTGGCCTGAAGAAGAGCTGATCCTGGCCACACAAGAACCACAAGAACACTGTACATAGATAAAATAGGAATTTAATGGTATTCATAATTCATAAAGAACTGAAAAAAAAAAAGACTTTCGATTTTTGGAACAGTCCAAGGCAGTCTTCAAAAGAGCTTTGCCAGGCCTTGGAACTTGGAAGTTCAAGAGACTTGTAGACTCGTCAAAATATGAGTGCCAGACATTCAGCAGGCATCCCCCCATGAGACATCAACGACAGAAAGGTGCAAAACCAAAACAGAAAAGCCAGATTGTGAAGCGTCTGAGAGTGCAGCCCAAGTTTTGCTTCCAACATTGCAAACCAGAAGTGCGAGAATGGTGGCGCTGCCTTTCAGCTGGACTGAGGCTTAACTCTAACAGCCAAGAAAAACACACGAAAACCAGAAGGACTAACAAATTAACGAGCCAATGGATAAAGGGAGAGCTACACATGTTTAAGCTTTGATGACGCTGACGGAGTCATTGTCATTGCAACTGTGGAAAATGCCACCAGGCCTGCAAAGTAAAGCTCAAGACCTCTTTTAAGGAAAGTTTGCGCCTGACAGGATTTCAGACCTTATTTGACAGCACTTCTGCGAGGCTTTAGACTTTCAGGGAAGTATTTGAACAATAGTAGAGAACGAAAAAAACGGTAATGCATTTTTTGTACGATTTTCAATCATTTTCAATCAATATCCAATGTTGTTTTGGAGAAACCTTCTATGAATCAAAGGAGATGAAGAAACGTGTCAGGACACCGGATGATCTGTGCCACTACCTTCAGTGCGGTGCCCGCGGTAAGCTGTTCGCAAATTGATTTTGCATCACTGCGCGGCGATGAGTTCTAGCAATTGAAAAATCACTATTTACTGAGTTTACTGTGAAATCACTGTGTAATCGGCTAGGTCCTCTAGGTCCTCTAGGTCCTCTAGGTCCTCTAGGTCCTCTAGGTCCTCTAGGTGCATAGCGCTGCTGCAAACAGCCAAGAATGACGATGTGAGAGCCTTGGTAGCCACTGGCCTGACCTCGGTTTTGTTGTCTTCGTTGTCTTCATCGAATCTCAGCGCAACAGCTGTCACGCCTGAATCTGCAGGTCATACCATTGGCCAAAAGCGAAGAGCCTGCAGCGACTGTCGGTACTGTCGAATTCGAGTTGTAGTCCAGTCCATGTCTGTGTCTATCAGGATCTATCAGGATCTATCAGGATCTATCAGGATCTATCAGGATCTATCAAGCCATATCAAACCCTGCGGGGATGGGCCCATCCTGATCTCCGAATCAAAAAGATTCCAAGGTCTAAGTCCGCGGCGCTTTCTTCATGCAGAAACGCTCGCTCTTGGAAACAGGTCACGTGTCCATGGTCGGTACGCTACAACTGGGACATAACTGGGACGTTGGAGTTTCCCTTTCCATGGTCTGTTATTATGACAGCCAAAATGTGCACTTCTGGACTTTGAACTGGTTTGATTTGATGAACTTTGAGGGCGGGCAGACCAGGACAAACGTTGTTGTAAACAGATCGAGAATATTGGGGACACTTTTAGCACACTTTTAGCGAAAGAAACAAAACCATGCAAAATGATTCGGTAGTAAGGGCACAGATCGCTATGTAAAATTGCAATTCATCAATATTCAATCTGTCATTTTTTACACTCGACAAACCAGCTACAAAATTGCAACAGCAAATTGAAGGAAGTGCGAGAAAGTGTGAAATGGATTGAAATGGAGTTAACGGTAAGGTGGCACATGACTATCATATCATATCATTATCAGATGATGGCAGCCATGGATTTCTGCGTTGATGAAACCATGTCACCTCTTGGACGCAAACTTTTTTGTTGCCTTCTGCGATCGTGCGTTCTCAGCAAAGGACTGCTGTGAATCTGAGGCAAAGAGCCTTTGTACAAGGTCAGAACGTAAGCGCATCAACCACACCAACCGCTCGGCAATCCCACTCATCTGCCCTTCAAAGATTTTTGAAATTTCTTCGCTTGCTCCTCTGTCATGACAGCAGGTTGGCTTGGAGCCGTGAAAGCTGAAGCTGTGATTCGTGTGCGCTTTTGCTGAAGAGCAGTAGCCTGTCTTTCGGCTTCCTCCCTTTTTTTCGAAAGAAATTTTCTCTCCTCTTCTTTTTTGACCACCGATCGGGCTTGCGGCTCTTTCCGTGAGTTAAATACCACGGAAAAACTCACCTCGTCGCCAACTTCACAACGATGGGCTTGTCTAGCATGCAAATAAACATCTTGCCCAGTCCGGTTGTATATCTCAGGACACGCAATGAATCCATGCCCAGTGTGTTTCTCACCATAAAAACACTTGACTGTGCCTTTGTATCTTTTCTCCTCTTCAGGATCAAACGAATCAAACTGTTGCTGTGTGTTCAGCATCATGTTCGAAACCATTGATGGAGCCCAACCATCTGCACTGTTTCCTGTGAATCCAGCACCGAAGGATTGCGATGGATGCGGCAGGGAGGTTGTGTTCCATGTGCACGTGCTCCAATGCGATCCACTGGCCACGGCTGTGGGATCAGCCACATTCCAGCCATTCCAGCCATTCAAACAAGATTGATGTTGAACTTGTTGAACTTCAGCTTGGGGAGGAAAAAACGAGGCATTGCATTGGACGAAATTCTGACCGCCAGCTGACGGCCACATGTAACAGAACACCGCAAAACAGTGCAAAATCAAAAAATTAAAAGAACAGTTGATAAATTTATCTTGCTGGATTGGTGTGCAAATGGTTTCATTATCTTTTACCTGCCAATCTTGAGTAGCGAAAACTGCAATATGTCGTTTTTCCATGCAAATGTTGAATTGAAAACTCGTTTTGAGTCTTGTTGGCTCTGACAATTGGCCAATCCTTCACTATCAACTGTGGCATTTTCTGTTGCGCCCTGAAAAATTGCATTGCCCCAATTGTTCCCCTGACACAAAACATGCAATAAGGCAATAATTCAATATTGTATTGCATGAAAAATCCAGTTCACTGTTTGTATGTTCCAGTTTGTGTGATTTTTTTTGGTTCAATGTTCCTGGCATGTTGGTCTCCATTGACCTTCTTTAAACTGGGTTTTTCAGTCCTGATGTTTGTATCGATTGAACAAAATGTGAAGCAATTGTTCATCGCCCTTTGAGTTTCAAGTCCCACACCCGGAGGTTTTCATTGCTGGAACAGAACGGAGCAAAACAACAAATTGTATGTTTTTTGTCAAGTAAGAAATTGTACGAATGGCATTTCCAAGCCTGCGAAAGCAAGAACAACAGCTGGACAACAGGAGATCAAAAAAATGTCAACTTTGTGGGGTTGTCCGCAACATTGTGTTGATGTAAGCAAAGCCAGAACAGAAGCAATGCGTAAGAAGTAGAAACCCAACAGCGGAGGGTACTCCAGCAATTGAAGTACAGGAATGGTCAATGTTGGTTCCATGGTATTGCCTATTAAACCGTTGTGAATAATTTTGCATCCTTTCGGGGTTGAAGTATGTAAACATGTTTGGTTTTAATTTTAACTGTTTCAATTGTTGTCGTTGCGGAACTGTTTCGAACGAATCTGGCCAGTGTGCCATTGAGCTGTGGGAATAGCTGTCATAGTCATAGCTGACACGAATAGGTTCGATCGGACATTGGTCCATTGGTGTTGCTTTGTACCCTGTTGGTGGTGACCATTTTGTACCATTGTGTCTGTCTTTATCCTTCTCATTCGATACAAGTTGAATTTAAATATTGCTGCCACAATGCTGATCATTGTGTGGCGCACTGATCTGCAAGAGTGGACTGGGGTGATAATCGTGTTGTGTTGCAAGTCCCTGTCAACTGATGAGAATTCGCTAATTTAATTTTTCGTGTATATATAATATATAGTTTTTTCCGCTTGCTTCCAGCCACTGCTGGCTAGGGGAAGGGAAGGGCTCTGCGCGATGTGAGTGTTAAGCAAATACGCGGTTACAATGTCAACACCATGATTACAAAAAAAATACGACGAAATGTTATTTGCTGGATTCATGTTCTGCAAATGATGAGCCACACGGTGATTTGGATCACAATGGTCTTCTAAAATTGCAGAAATTGGATTGGTTGCTTGACTTTTCGTGCTGGATTAGACGTGTTGAATCAAAAAAGGGTACAAACATCGTAACGTTCCACTCTCGTCTCACCGTCATCTCACGTTTTTCCTCCCTCACACACAGGGAGAATAAGATACTTCTGGGATCAGATGGGGGGCCCATTGTGGAACTTTGCGTTTTTCCCCTCATCCGTGTGATGGTTTGAAAAAATGGATGACCAACACATCTGAGAATGAACATGCAACTGTGTTGCCAAACCGCCTAAGAACCATAATTATCTTCAGACTCGAATAATAACAACCAAATTGGGACATCAAACAAAGCGTCTGAGAAAACAAATTCCAGTGACTCGGAGTCGAATCATGAGCCCGTTTCAAATGTCAATTCAGATGAAGTTCGAGACAAAATTGCTGCAGTGACCAAGATCTGCACTACAGCGTCGAATATAAACATACATGGGTTCTCGGAATCATGTGAATCGAACAGTTGGTGTTGGTGTTGGTGTTGGTGTTGGTGTTGTTGTTGTTGTTGTCGTTGTTGTTGATATTTTTGTTGCTATGTTTGTTGTTATGTTTGTTGTTGTTTTTTGTTGTTGTTTTTGTTTTACTTTTGTTTTTGTTTTTTGTTGTTCTTGTTTTTGCCTACGGCCTGAAAAACGGCCCAGTTTGTTTTTGTTTTTGTTGTTGTTGTTGTTGCTGCTGTTGCTGCTGCTGCCGCTACTGTTGCACTAGCTGCAGCCCGGGAACACACGTCCACCCGCAGATCAACAGACGGGCCTGACTCTCTAGCTAGAAATTAAGCTGAGTGTGCTAGGCGATCAAGGAATTTGAGTGCGATGGTATATATTGATGACTCACCGAGTTTAGCCACAAAGGACAAATGCCAACCACAGCAATCAAAAGGGAAGAGAAACACAGCAAGAAAACGGGGCAACACCAACCACAACCACCAAGGGGAGGAGAAACACCCCAGAGCACGCAGAAACCCCAAAGCGCGAAAAAACAACACCACAATCAAGGGAAGAAAACGAACACCACAGGGCGGGCAAAAGTCACAAACCGCCAAAACACAAACACCTACCACAACCACTAGAACAAAGGCTACAGCCCAAACCGAGCAGAAACCCCAAAGCGGCAAACAAAAAAACATTTACCACAACCACCAAAAGAAAAACACCCCAGGGCGGGTAGAAGCCACGGGGGCACCAAAAAACAAATACCAAAAGCAGCAACCAGCATCAAAGGACAATTGCCAACCAACTAAGAAAAGAGAAACGCAACAAACGGGGCACCACCAACATTAAAAAAATGGCAAAAACTCCAAAGCGCCGAAAGACCACATCAACCAACACCGCCACCCACAACCGGCAACAAACACCAACCGCCGTGGACGAAAGCCCGAAAGAGCTTTACGCAACGCCAACGGCAACGACCAAACAGCGTGCTTAACGCCAAGAGCAATCAAATGCTCCGTTGCAGCAAACGCGGCACTGTCACTCTTGCACCGGCTAGGGGGAGGGGATGGGGGGTGCTCGTCGTTAGCACCCCCCCGGGCCCACCCCATCCCATGAAGTCCACCCAGTATGGAACCATCAAACGTTAAACCAATCAAATTACAGCAAATGCCACACAAGGTTCCCTGAGGTGCTTTAATTTAAGGATCCCAAAGACAGGGTTGGTTGGACCAGCCACACGCCATCGCATTTGCAAATTGCGATTCCGAAATTGCAAACAGGACAAGAGACAAATCCCGTCCAAAAAGGTGATGACAGCACCACTCCAAGTTTTAAGGTTTTGACATCTCCACTTTTGGGTTCAGGTTAACAAACGGATCAAGAACCGCTTTTCAGCGCAAAATCGAGAACCAATCGCACTGATTCCAAATTTCCATTGAAAATACTAGAAATCTATTAGCAAATTTCGTGAAGTCCTGTTTATTTGCCCAATATACGTTTATGGTCCAATTCTGTTAGCGGGGGGGTCAATAGTATCAAAAAAAATCGTGTGCCATAAACGCACTCGTCAGGAAAACCACTTACCAACATTTACCATGAATGAAGGGAACCATCGAAAAAAAAAAATACATGTTGCGAGGTCCATTTTTGGTGTAATACGCGTGTTTGATGTATTTTGGGTGGCAGGGACCCTAATTTGCCTTTTCAGTGTGAAATAAGATTTTGGCGGATTTCTGCCAGCTATACCAATCAACCATGTGATTTACTGGGTTTGAGGAAAAATACCATCGGATTGTGTGAGGATATCATCCGAATTTTCTCAGGATATCCACATATATCAACAGAAGGTTCTTGTG